TTTTTTTGGTACCAGGAGATAGAACTCAGGTCCTTACGCCTGTGAGGCAGGTGCTGGAATCACTGAGCTAAATCCGTGGCCCGCCTTTTACAGTGCCTCTTTGCTGAGTTTACCACAGATTTTTAAAAATACAAATGTGTGGATATGTAGGTAAAATACCCAATAATGTTAAAAGTGTTATGAAAAGTGTCCTTCTGCCAGGTGTGGTGTACACCTGTAATTCCCAGACTTTTAGAGCTGAGGCAGGGGAATCACAAGTTCAAGAACCATCTGGGCAACTTAGTGAGACCCTGTCTCAACATTACAAAAAAAATTAAGGGAGGGACTGGGGATGTAGATCAGTGATAGAGTACCATGGATGTGATCCCCAGTACTGCAGCTGGGGATGGAGGCACATGCCTGTAATCAGGAGGCTGAGGCAGGCGGATCCCTGAGTTTAAGGACAGATAGCCTAAATCACAAGGGGACTCTCTTTTACCAAAAAAAAGAAAAATATGACCCCCTAGCACCACACAAGAAATTGCTTTTCTGTGCCTTGCCTTCATAGCATGGGTCCCATTGCTCCTTTTCTTTTTAATTTTTAATTTTGGAATTATTATAGAAACAAGAAATTACAAAAGAATTATAGGTAGAAGTCTAGTGTCCCTCTTTCCCCTGCCCCTCACTATGGCCCAGGAACAGTGAGGAAGCAGAGGCCTGGCTGGCTGCTCTGGCCATGCCCCCGCTTCCCAAGGCCACTTGTGTGCCCCGCAGGCTATGGTGCCAGGCGACCTGGTCTCTACAGCCTGCCATCATGGTGGTCTCGACTGTGTTATAGCTGTCTGATGGCGGAGGGGTCAGCAGGCAGGTGAGACCTGAGTTCCCATGTGGCAGGGACATGGGTCGCTTCCACTTTCTGGTGGCACTGAGGATCAGACCAGCCCCCCTACCTTTTTTTTTTTTAATTTCCGCAGGCTATGGTGCCAGGCGACCTGGTCTCTACAGCCTGCCATCATGGTGGTCTCGACTGTGTTATAGCTGTCTGATGGCGGAGGGGTCAGCAGGCAGGTGAGACCTGAGTTCCCATGTGGCAGGGACATGGGTCGCTTCCACTTTCTGGTGGCACTGAGGATCAGACCAGCCCCCCTACCTTTTTTTTTTTTAATTTAATTTATTGGTACATTCTAGGTAGACAGTACAGTTACTTTCATTACTGGGATCTTGTACCTTTACATTAAAGAATGTAGTTGTTTTTTTTTTGGTACTGGGGATTGAACTCGGGTTCTTGCGCTTGCAAGGCAGGCCACCAAACTGCTGAGTTAAATACCCAGCCCACCCCTCTACCTTTTTGTTTTTAATTTTGAAACAGGGTCTTGCTAAATTGCTCAGAGAAAACTTGAACCTGTGATTCTTCTGCCTCAGCCCCACGAAGTGCTGGAATTGTAGGTGTGCACCACCACCCCTGACTTGGATGGCCTTTCTGTGGATTTACAATAGGCAGCCCCTCCAAACTTTGAGCTGTTTCTGACATTTAATCCCATTCTGTAAACCATGTGCTTGTTCTTTGAGGTCCCATGATGACCATTTTGGGAGGTGTTTCACCCTGGTAAAGCTGGGGCACTGCTTCTTGCTCAGAAAAGTCTGTACTGTGGATGTTGTTGGGAAGGACTCAGTCATCCTGCTGGAGAGGGGCTCCTCTCCCCTGCAGCCCCTTTCATCCCACCTTTCCTGTCCCCCACCCGGGCCTCAGCACAGCATCTCCATTGCACAGGCATAGCCTGACAGGGGTGCTCTTTTGGGGTCTGGGTCTTGCTTTGGCTGGGGCTGTCACTTTGCGTGGGTGTGGCCTCAGGATTCTGGGTCCTCAGTGCCCCGGGGCTACAGAAGGCAGGTCCTGCTGTGTATGGGTTCTAAGCCCTCAGGCAGGGCTGCTCCTCACCCCTCTTAGTGCAGGGGATAGTGTCTGTCCTAGTCCTGGGATCAGTGGCCCCTACTCATGGGCTTGGGCTTCTCTGCCTGAGTCTGCAGGCAGCTGGTGGGAGTGTGTGACCTCCACTACGGGGGCTCTGCAGGGTAGCCTTGCCTTCCTATCTGGTGTCCACATGGACATTGCTTTCCCCAGGCACTGCTGCCTGTGACTGCACGTTACCAGGACTCTGGGCCCTGTTTGGTTAGCAGTGGCTCTGTCTGTCCCTGATGATACCACAGCCCGTCACAGCTCACTGCATGTGGTACTCCACACCCAGAGTCACAGTCCCACCTGGCCACTGCATGGCTTTCTGGTGCAGGAGTGCATGGCCAGGCCCCATCCTCCATTCCCTGGTCCTTGCCATATGCTGGGGACCCTGTGGAGGCTGTGCCTTTCACACCACTGGCACCATCTTTTTCCACAGGCTTCCTGAGTGTGTGCCCGAGGCCCCTGGCTTCCTTCTGGAGTGTGACCGCGCCTCACTGGACGCCCTGCACCAGCACCTGGCGCTGTACCGGGTCCGGCGGAAGGTCAAAGTGGAGCCGTGCCCCGAGCACCGTGTGTGGGCCGTGCTGTCTGGGACTGCCCAGGCTGGCCAGACACCACTCTTGCAGGAGAGGGCAGAGGCCACTGCCATCCTGGCCCGTGATCCCCGGACAGTGCGCATGGGCTGGCGGCTCCTCACGCAGGACACAGGCCCAGCCTTGGTGCCTGGTGCCAGGCTCGGGGACCCCCAAGATTACCATGCACACCGGTACCAGCAAGGTGTGGCAGCAGTGTGGGCAGGGGGAGGGGACAGGATAGGGTACCTGTGCCAGTGCCCTCACCTCTGGTGTCCTTTGTCCCACAGGTGTCCCCGAGGGGGTCCATGACCTGCCCCCAGGGGTAGCCCTGCCCCTGGAGTCCAACCTGGTCTTCATGAATGGTGTGAGCTTCACGAAGGGCTGCTACATTGGCCAGGAACTGACTGCACGCACCCACCACATGGGTGTCATCCGCAAGCGCCTCTTCCCTGTGCACCTGGCCGGCTGCCTCCCAGCTCACAGCATCATGCCTGGCACCCCGGTGCTGACTGAGTCGGGACAGGCTGCCGGCAAGTTCAGGGCTGGGCAGGGAGACTTCGGGCTAGCTCTGCTGCGCATGGAGAAAATCAAGGGCCCCCTCCACATCAAGACCTCTGAGAGTGACCCAGTGGCCATCACTGTGTCTGTGCCAGACTGGTGGCCCACAGCCACCAAGTAGCCCAGGTGACCTCAGCTCCTGTAGGCCACAGGTCCTTCTACTGTGCCCAGCAGGGGCCCCTGGAGCACCCACCTAGGCAAGTGTCTGCATGTCTGCCTCACATAGTGCATCGAGCCTTCTCGTGGGAGGCCTGTGGCTGTAGACAAAGAGAAGGGCCCAAGCACCTGTGTGCCTGCTGACCCCTCAGTGTCTGGCTCGACAGCCTCCACCTGTCTCCCACTTGGAGAGCGGTGGCCTGGGTCTCTGTGGGGCTGGTGCGCTGGGAAGGTGGCTGAGGTGTGTATTGTCACGGTCAGGTGGAAAGGCATCTGGGGCAGGATTTATGTGGTCATCTGTGAGTGGGGCTTGGATCCTGTGGCTTGGGGTATCTGCAGTGGGGACCTGCGGTTGGGGCATCTGTGTGGCAGGGACACCTGAGTCCTTCCTGAGTGCCCACTGTGTCCTTGAGCTTGCTCTGTCCCGTGCACCAGCCCAGTAAGCTCATGTCATCCCATACAGCAGGACCCAGCACATCTGCCCACTGCTGTGCCTTCCTCCCCAAGCGGAGGGGCTTCTGCTGGACTCCTGATGATGGTGTGGGTGTCCCTGTGTACTTTGCAGGGCAAGGTCTCCCAACCTCCTCCCTGGTTCCCATAGTGACTATTAAAGTGTGCCAGAAGCAGCCCCTTGGAAGGTTGGGTGTCATTTCTGGCCAGGTCTGGTGGGCTAGACACAGGGACAGCCGGGTGAAGTGCATTCAGTGTAGGTGGGCAGCACTCAGCTGTCCTGGACAGGGCTGGGCAGGAGGGGATGGGGACTCACTGTGAACTCCACCAGCCAGGGTAGGAGAGGAGGCTTGGAGAGTGGGTGCCGGCCATCTGGGTTGGGGTGGGAGGTGGAAGACAAGGTCCCCTTGAGTGGGAACAGTGGTACCCTCTGACTGTACTCATCCTCACGCGGCACTCAGGCTGCCTGGCCCTGGGTATGGGTGCTGGGCTGAGCCCACAGTGGCCACCTCACCACCGCCTTGGGTAGTCTCTGCCTGTGGGATATGTGCAGGAGGTTTTGCCAGCACTGGTAATGGGGCTCTCCATCTGCTGTAAGGCTGCAGAGGACCTGGCCAGCGCTGTCACTGCCTCCAGCCCCACCTGACAGTGAGACATCTGACTAGGACCTGGGTTCGAGGCCAGTTTCCTCTTGGGTTGCAGCCATCTTGTGATGGAGAGTGGCAGCAAGCACCGGGAGAGAGAGCTGTCTCTGCCTGAGTGTGGATGCCTGGGCTCCTGTAGCACCCCGTGCAGGGCCCCAGACAGTGGCACCCCCAGACATTTTCTACGCCACGTGCTGGCATCCCAGAATCCCTGGCTGCTCGGAAAAGTGTGCCGTGCCGTGTTCTGCCCCCGCACTTTGGAGCGGGACTTGTGCACAGTGCTTTCTTGTGCATAGGCCGGGCCAGTTCCATGGCGAGGATCTGGCTGGCTTTAGAGCTGGGAGTCACTGCGTGTGACCTGGGGCCGGCTCCTTTGACCCTCCTGCTTGCCACGCCCCAGCCCCATTGTTGGAAGCACTCACTTGTGGGAAAGCTGGTACAGAAAAACCAGCTGCCCCTCTGTGTGCTATCCCCTTGAGTTTGTCGGCACACACTTGCTGTACGTAGTGATCACACTCCTCGTGGGGAGTTAGCACAAGGCAAAACGTCTGATTCTGTTTACTTCCCCTCCCCTTGGCTCACCACTCCTTTTTAGTTTGCTTTGTTAAAGGTGCAAAGCTGTGAGAAATGACTGTCACAGTTTAAGGCAGACAGGAAGCTGGGGGGGACAGGACAGGGCCAAGCCAGCGGGCCAGGCAGCCAGCCTTTGGGATTTCTGAGGGCTTGGCAGGCGGGCTGGGTGCGGAGGGCTCTGTGACCTGCACGTGGCCAAGGTCCAGATGGCCAAAGAGGGCTCTCCCCAGCCAGAGGGCTCTCCAAGGTCAAGGCAGGACCATGTACAGGAAAAGGGGTTCCACACACTGCAGTACATGAGCAAAAGCAGCAGAGCCCAAACCTGCAAGTTTGAAAATACTGGAGTAAATGACAAAAAACAGTAGTATTTGGATGTATTTAAAGAAATAACGTGTGGGCTTTAAACTTGAGGAAGAGCTACGTGCAGGGCAGAGGGGTCACCCGACCGTTGCAGCACTACTCCTGTGGTTTAAGGAGGCTGGTGCTCACCAGTGAGTCAGGGCTGCCCCCAGGAGAGGAGGAGCTAGAAACTGGGCAGCATGAATAATGCAGAAGGCATCAGAATGGAGGGAGAGACTGAGGTAGGACAGAAAAAATAGGAGTAAAAGAAAACTGATACCAAACTATTTTTAAAGAAAAACTGCAGCTTCCACACATGAAAATTTCTCTTGCCTTTTTTTTTCCCCTCGAAGAGAAATTCCCAAGGACCTCACGAACCCCAGGCCTATGTATGGCTTCCAGCATGTGTGAGTGGCTTGTATTTTAACACAGCCCACAAGAAGACAGAACCCAGAGCAGACCAGAACACACACCTTGGATGACCTACCCTGAGGACACCCCGAGCCTTCGTAGATGCTCCCAGCTCTCTCTGAAGGGCTTGCACTCATTTTGAGTATTTACAAATTCTGCCTAATAAACTGTTTATATCTCTTACCACGCAACCTCAAAGTTCTTTTTTATAGTGGGAGTCCATGATCTTGCGACCTCCAGTGTATGGGTGAGCTGAGTTCCTGTCTCCACTCTGGGGACCCTTTGGATCCTGTCCAGGAACAGAATGGATGGCAGTGAAGAGGTGTGAGGCCTGTGTCTGACCCAGGACTGTCTGAGGGACTGACCACTTTGCCTGTGGAAATTTAGTGTCCTGCTCACCAGCTCCAAGGGTCATGGGACCAATGAACAGGTGCTTGTATTGCCTGTTCTGTGGGTGAGAGTGGCCAGGCATGTGGGGAGTGTGTGTCCTCTTGCTGTCCCTGGTCACTCAGGGCTGCGTGCCATTGCCCTGCGAGTGGGAAGCGGCTGTCGCCCTGCAGACAGCATCACAGGGCCTGGGGACACTCAGACTCTGTCCAGCACTGTGCTGGCACTATCAGGCCAGGTCTCCCTCTTGTGGGAGGGGAATAGGTGGAGGTGGGGCCGGGAGTTGCTTTTGATTTCTTTTTTTTTTGTTCTGATCTGTGGAGCAATGGCAAGCCCAGACATTGAGGACCAGGCCCAAGGCTTTCTGGGGGCACCTGCGGAGGTGCAGGCTGCAGCTAGCACAGGCCAGAGCTTGGCTCCTGTACATGATGTGTCCTGCCAGCTGGGGGATGGACTGCTAGACCTGTGCCATGGTGGTTCCATGCATGCATGTGTGAACCATGTGTGATGTTGGAAACCCGTCAGTTGTTACAAAAGTTGATGGCACCAAACCTCAAGCTGTATGTCAGCAAAACCAGAGGGGCCTGGTACCACATGGTGGCCATGGAGCCAACAGTGCATCCATCATCTGCCATTGCCCTGGGGAGTCCGGGCTGCCCTGACCTGCAGAGTATCTTCCCATGACAAACGCATGCTCAGGGCCTCGCCCTGCATGACCTTGGGTGACCCTGTGTAGCCATGGTCAACCAGAATGTCCTTCTGCAGTGCAACAAGCCTGTCTCCAGAGCCTGTGTGCTCGCTGCTCTGTGCTGTGGATGGAACCCAGGTCGTGAGATGCTGGGAAGCACGCTTGCACTGAGCTGAACTCAGCCCTTGCACTTTTGTGTCTGAGTGGCAGGGTGGACGACAGGCTGGTGTGCTCTTGAGAGGGGTCTGCTGGAGAGATGGAGCCCCAGGGCCTGGCTTGCTGACACCCTGGAGCCCCTGTCTAATTCCTATGGGAATGGTGTTAGCTTGGGTTTGGGCACTGGGTGTGCCACGAAAAATGAGTGGTTTCTTGATGTATTCTGTTGAAAGAGATCTACCAGATAAGCAGTGGTGGCAGGGACACTGTGGGTGACAGGTGTGGAGATGAGTGAGGGCAGAGGCTGGCTAGAGCTGCGTGTCCTGTGTCCCCTGCATGGCAAGGTGACCAGGGATACTACTAGTCCTCAGAATGGCTATGTGAGAGGAGTCTGTGATTTATCACATATTTTCTACGTTTGTGTATATTTGCTTCCTTCTTCTTTTAAAAGCTCTTTCATATGTGTGTACTTGCCAGTGCTCGTTAGCATCACACGAGGCTGGGTTTGCTCTGAAGGTCCCACATGAAGAAGCGGTACATGTCGAGAGATGGACGTGCTGAGGGTTCTGATTGGACTTGGTCAGCACATGTTGTATCAAAACATCCCTCTGCAGCCCATAAATATCTGCAATTATTATGTGTCCATTAAAATCAAAGACCTCATTAGGAATTTTAATAAAAATAAGTAAAATAGCAAGGCCAGCCTAAAGATGATGAGCAGCAAGGTGAGCTCTGGTTGCCAGTGCACAGTGGGCAACCGTACTTAACAATGCCGCCATTGCTTTTGGTCAGCTGTGGGAAGGTCCTTCTGCTGTCCCTGTACAGAGTAGTGACAGTCCTGTGTGTCAGTGTCACTGTGGGTGATGAATCTCCCCTCATGACGGGGTCCCCTAGAGCCTTACTCTACTCAGCTCCTGATCTGTCCCACTGCTCAGATGTCCTTCCAGAATGTTCCGTGAAAGAACTTGCAGTGCATGGTGACCTCCAGAGTGGTGGTGCTTTAGGGTTGGCACAGTTTCCCAGAGGCCTGCGTGTGGCAGGGACTATCCACTTCTTTTCCCCTGGTCATGTGGACCACTATCTGTTTAACCCTGCTCTTATTTGCTGTGGCTGAATTCCCGTACACTAAAGTCCTGTCCAGGACTTCTACGTGTGGTGGTGGGAGCTGGGCCTTCAAAGAGGTGATCAAGTGGCTGGGTGCAGGTATTACCTAGCCTGCTTGGTGCCCAGGGTCCACCCCAGCACCACCGAAGGATGACTAGAACGAGACAAGGAGGGGATTAATGAGTCACGAGGTGGGTCCTAATCCAACATGACCCCTGCTCCAGTATGTCAGCTTTTGTCACCATGACAAAACACCAGAAGAACGAGGCTTATGGGAGGATGGTTTAT